TCCAGATTTAATGTATTATCTGTAGTTTCTCTCATAAGCCTTTCTTCAGCAGTGTTGTGATCACTGAGGGGCCAGATCCTACTGAGTGACAAGCCTTCTGGGAGCAGAGGAGGCTCAGAACCACTCAGGGCCCAGTTCTCATCACATTACACCTCCTTCATGAATTCTCACAGCCAGTGAGAAAAACAAATCATGGAATGTGAAAAGCAGCTATTTTGCTTTAGGCTGATCAGACGCTGCTTCAGTTAGGCCACCTGCTGATTCATTTCTATCAGGTTTATTTCAAAAGCTCAGAGGAGCTGGATGCTGGTTATGTTTGAAATGGTTTGGGTGCTTCTGATTTTGGATTGGACTCAACACTCCTGCAAATAGTATGTTTTGTACCTTCTCCCTATGGGATATGTTTTCATTACTGAGAGGCAGGACATGCTAGCATAATACTCGCAAAAGGCCAGAGAGCTGCTCCTCCACCATGTGAATGATCCAGCATTAATTGAATAGCAGAAGGTCGACCGAAATCAATCAGTTTGGTGTTGGTAAGAAGCGAGGGGGCTGATGGTGTGTTGGTTATTACTCAACTCTCCTTTGGATGAAAAAGTCGTCAAAAGAAGAAAAATGGGTACCACTTAGCCTCTTTGATCTTAGAACAAAGGGAAATTTCATTCTCATAGAAAGTCAATTAAATGCCACTCTTCCCTGTTAGCTTACTGTGAATTTGAGCTGGTTTTGAAAGTAACTAACAGCATGGGCCAGAAGTGGGCCTAGTGGAAGCATGACAGTTGCTGAGAAAGTGTCCTCAGAGCAGCCCCTGCAAAATATCTATACCTATTTCTCTTATGAGAGACCATTAATAGAGGTTTTGTGAGGGGAGGGACCAGATTGAAACATCATATTACAATTTCTAGCCTGGTGTACTCCACTGGTATGTTCCCATTATTTACAAGTTGTGCTTGCTAGCTCTCTGCAAGAGATCACTGTAGGAGAACCTTGTTAATGCACACACCTCAGACATGCACACACACACACTCGGTAGCTCTTCCCTCCTTACTACCAGCACACTGTTGTTTTGGTCCTGCATTCCTTGTGGATTCAGATTTCCCAGAGAGAGGCAGACTTCAGAGGAATGGGCAACAGAAGTTAAATTTTGGTTTTCTGATTTATGATTTCACATAATACAAGAACAAGGGTGTTTCAATGAACAGCAACAAAATTAACCTGAAAAGGAATCATTTCAACAAGATGATAATTAACCCAAGGAACTCACTTCCACAGGATAGCATTGGGGCCACCTAGCAATTAATAGGCTAGATCTTTAAAGGATAATGAGAATTATCTGCCACAATATATAATTTTTATATGGGATAAAAAGTTAAGGCCATAAATTATTATGTCTTTAGGTTATAAGCAGATACATAGCTAATGAGGATTATAATAAATTTTCTCTCTTAGGGTTATTACTTTGTAATTATCCAATGTGGGTCTTTTATCTTCATCCAAATCATCTGTAACTGGCCATGTGTCAGAGACAGAATACTGGGTGAGGTGGATCACAGGGCAGATCTGCTCTGGCCAATCCTACATTTTCAATTGACTTCATCAGCCTCAGCAGCGGTAACAAAAGGCATTTTACCTCTCATTTACTCTAAGGCTTCCCTTATTGCACTTCTGCCTTGCAGAGAGGCCTTGATTTGTATGCTTGAATTTATGTCCTATTTAATGCCCTTTTCCATTGCCAAAGCAATATAAAGGGAGCTTTAAGGAAAGTGAGAATCAGGCTTAAGGAATGCAGGATACTGCATGCTCCATCAGAGGGATGTGTGCTACAATCTCCTCTTCCTCCTCTATATCATTTTATCAGGAATTTTGAAAGAAGCCTTCTAAGCATTCTAAGACGGATGTGCTCAACCACTGTCGACAGCGGTTTGTAGATCATTGCAACTGGTAGTGTACCACAGGTATTCTTTCTGCTAAGGAATGCTGTAGCAATACATGAAACCTGAAGATACCTGTAACATTCAGACATTGTAGGTGTTTCCAAATTGTAAATAAATATTTTGACAGATGGAAGGAAGAATAATTAAAAATAATTTAACATTTTAAAAGATAAAGGGGTCTATGTTTGAGCTTCTAAGTTCATGAAACGGCACTTAAATAAGTGACCTGATGAGCACTTTTAGCTACATTTGCAGTCATGTTGCAAGTTGCTCCGTGTTTTACAAAATCAAGACACTAATTTTTGAGCCTGGAAGTTTAACAAAATCAGTTTATATTTCATGCAGCCATTTATGAAGACCTTGGCCTAAACTCTTTGACAAGTGAATTCAATCTAGTATGTCTTAGCTTTACGTTGTTTATTTTTTTAATTGGCACCCTTTGTTCATTCACAACAGATATTTAATTAACTTCAAATTTATAAGGCCCGTAATAAACTTGCATTTCAAAGATGATGCTTCTTTGATTTAGGGAAGATTGAAAACTGAAGAATTGAAATTTAGATAGGATTTTTCTCTCTGAACACCATAGTATTTGGATTTTGGTGGATTTAAAACCTGATTCTTATTTCCTGTGTACTGGCATATCTCTTCTGGTATCTGAACCATATTCCAGAATAAACTAAATCTTAACTACAGTTCACCAGATTTAACAATGGCAAATTAAACAGCTTTCCCCAGACCTCAGATGACAAATGAGCAGCTACAGATTTTTAAGCTGGGTAAAATTCTTCATTAATTCCCATATGGGAGAACATTAAACTCTTTGATATGAAAGATCTCAGAAAAAACTCCTTTCCTCAGACAAAGACCTTCAATCCTTTTGTACAGGTTCACCTTCCCCATTTTCTTCCACACCCTTGCCTCTAGAATCTTTATTTTCTGTACAGATTTAGCATGTCTTTACATGGCAAATATTGGTTCTCCCTCTCTGTGTCTTAGGCTTTGTATTTCGCTTCTCTGTTTCCATCCCAGCATTGCTTTTACCACTGTGGTTATGACAACAATATTTGTTAACTAACTTGTGCTCCTTCTCTAGCCCCATTGAACTACTCAAACAAATTGGTAACAAAGACAGATGTTACCATATAAGAGACTCATTTGCTCTGGCACTCGCTGCTAAGTCTCTATTTGCTGCCTATTGCAGCCGAGAATCAGGGCTTCAATGTTTAGGATCTGCTAAACCATACCTTGCAGGGTACAGAGAGATTCTGAGACTGAACCACCTGACAGTTTTTTTTTCCCCAAAATAAATCAGTAATGGAACTGGTGTAGAACACAGCAATGATTTGTGCTGAATCACAGACATCTGATACAAAAGCCGCAGATGTAAAGAACACACAAAATTGTATGTGGAGATCTATCAAGTCAATAGTTAGAAAGTTGTCCAGCATAAAAGTGTCTCATGTGAAATGCTCAGTGTTCACAAGCAAAGTTTTGTAAACTTAAGAAAGCTTAATTTAAATATAGACACAAGTAAAAGCTAAACTAGCAATTTTTCTTTTTTTTTCTTTTTGCATATTTTTGTTAGGTGCTTCTTCTCTGCCTAAATATAAAGTCCAGAGTGCAGCTGGTGCAAATCCTAGCTATGGATTTCAAGCAAGACAAAGATAGTGTCAGACACTGATCCAACTGAACTAAGGACCCATGTACTTTGGGAGTTGGCTTTGGGGGAAAAATTCTCACACAGATACACAGAAGACAACTAGGGAGAACACCAGCCCAAACACAATAAAACAAAATACAAAACACCAACATATATATGCAGATCAGGAATCAATCTTTCACACTGATCCTACATTCCTTGCATAGCTTTGCATATGCAGAGAATGCGGGATGTGGCCCTTCAGTTAGACGTTTTTGCAAATGAAGAAGGGAAGATTATTTGCAATGGTAACATTTTAAGTTATTTTGGCATCAGCACAAATTACCAGGGGCAGGATCAGATTCCCACACAAATATGGAAGCTCTCTAGCGAGCAAGGCAGGGATGAGAGAACAATACAGCAGATTAGTTCTTGTCCAGTGACCAAAAAGAAGGGAAATCCTAGTTATTACACACTTCCAAAACTTTAATTACTTTTTCAAATAAGAAGAAAGACTACAGATTCTATCATCCCCCAAACCAAGGGAACATTGCTAGAAAAATCTCTTTCTCAAAAGGAACCGCCCTTCAGCAGAAATGAATCTGAGATGGAACCAAAAAAAGAAACAACAGAACCTTGGTAGGAGCCAAAAAGAGAACCACGTAATTCAAAAACAAAGTAGCAGTTCAAACGATACTGCAGGATGCACAAACTCTAGTAGATAATCTCACAGATGACTTCACAGAGTCCCTCATCGACCCAGGTAATTCTTGATTCCATTAGAAAAGAGAGAGAGAGAGAATAATACTAGAAAAGAAAATTAAGAAACATCCTTCCTCTTTTTTAAAATAAAAATCAAGATCATCTCCCCTCCCCCCCTCTATCTGGAAGCAGGTTAGCTAACCTTAACAGTCTCAATTTAAAATAAAATATATATTTATATATATATTCATATATATAATAAAAGAGAAGATATTAGTGGCAGTGTACGCAAAACGAAAAAGAAAACAAAGAAAAATTACTTTTAACAATCTCACTTTTTTTGTTTTTTTACACAAATACTGTTGTAAATATATTAAAAAAATCAGCATTCTATCTGGTAAACGTCACTTTTGCCCCTCTATAAAATTTTGAATTAAAAAAGTCCCAAGAACTCTTTTTTTTTTTAATTATTATTCCCCTCCCCACCCACCCTCTATTCCTCTTTCTTCCACAAGTTTTTTTTTTTTTTTTTTTTTGCAAAGATTGTGGGAACTAACCCTTCTCTTGTACCTAGATCCATAGGTTGCAACCTCTGATATCTTTGATTTTCCTCTGTGTTTCTCTTTGCCTTCTGTGAAAGTCCCTCTTGATTGTGCTGAGGCCCTGGGCTCAGCGAAGACACTGAATAAATTACAAAAAAGCCACCGTTGCTCGTTGTCTGAATCTTCTTGGTATCTGCTGTAAGGTGGTGGTGGTGGTGGTGGTATGGGAAAAGCAGCGGGGAGGGTGCGCCAGAGAGCGTGGGATGGAGCAGAATCCAGGTGAGGAACCTCTGATTCTTTCTCCTCACCCTGCAGGGACTCCACACTATCCAAGCCACACTGCCTCGCACTCCCCTCAGCCCTTTTGTGTGTTTGTGGGTGTGTGTGTGTGTGTGTGAGAAAGCAGACACGTGGTGGAAACCAGCAGGGCCTTGTTTCCTCTGGTTGCTGCTCAACCAGAAGCAAAATATTCCACAGTTCTAACTGGATACTGTGAAGTCCAAAAGCGGTCAGCATTGTGAATTATGTCCATTGAAACACTGCGAGCGGTGTACTTACAACGACAGTAGGCCTTGTAGATTTGTAATATATTTTGTTTTGTTTCTTTTTTTTGTAGTGCTCTTCACAAGTGAGAAAAAAGAAATTGTTTTTTTCTTGTTTTTTATTTTTTCTGTCTGTTTTTTGATTTTTTTTGTGGTTTTTTTGTTGTTTGTTTTTTGTAGTAAAGAAGGGTTGTATTTAGAGGCCAGTAGCTAGAGATCCAACCAGTGGAGCTCATGAAGCACTACCTGGCCTTAAGGCCACCATCCAAGGGAGGTTGGGAAAATTATTATTCACCCAGCCTCCGGAAATGTAATGTACCAGCAGGCAAAAAACAGTTCTTCATGTAGTACAAAAACAACAAAATGAAACGAACCCAAAAAAAGGAGGAAAATAAAGGTAAAAATGAAACAAAAATCATTTCTTAAATTCTAGTGCCATAGCTTTTTTTGTCGTTTCTATTTTTTTGTTCATAACAAAGAGAGAGAGAGAGATTCTACTTATCCGTCTGACACATGCATCCTCATGTGGTCGTTGAAATGCTCGATTTGGTCAAACTTAGCTGGACAGACAGAGCAGACGTATGTGGTCCCCTCCGTGCAGGCCACCACCCCGGCAGGGACGGCCCTGGCGCCAGTGCCGGTGGCTCCAGGCGTGCCGTTGGTGGCACTGTGCAGTGCCACGTGCCTCTCCAGCAGGGTCTTGTGGGAGAACTTCTTCTTGCAGATGTAGCACTCGTAGGACTTCTCCCCGCGGTGGAGGCGCATGTGCACATTAAGGGAGCTCTTCTGGGTGAAGCGTTTGTTGCAGATACTGCACTGGTACGCCCTCACGCCGGTGTGCGTCACCATGTGTTTGATTAGGTAATCCTTTAAAGAGAAGGAGCGCCAACAGATGCTGCATTGGTGGGGTTTCTCACCTGCCCATTACCAATGAGAGAGAGAGAGAGAGAGAGAGAAAGAAAGAAAAACAGACAAAAAAAAGAAAAAGATAATAAAATTAAACCAGCTCGGTACGACTCGTTGCAATAAACTAGCGGTAAGTCTCACAGATGTCTTTGGAGAGCTGCTCTGGTTAAGAAAGTGTAATTCTGCTAATAAGCGTGTTTTGATACACAACATTTTTTGCAACCAGAGGTTTCAAAATGCTTTACAAAGGGGACTATAGGTATTCCCAACCCACATACAGTAAAAAGGAGCTCAGGTGATCTCTTCAAGATCCCATAGTAGGCACTGACCAAGACAGGGCTGGAGTTAAAAGGTCCTGGCATCCACACCCAACTTAAATGGGTACAGCCTTTCCTGCCTTGCTCCTCACGCTCATTTCTAGACAGGTCTTAGTTAAGTTACTTTACCTTTCAGTGCCCCCATCTCCCTACCTGTATGCAGCAAAAGCATGGACAAAGCTGGTGATTACTAGACAGCTGACCCATTTTTGTCCAATTGCTTTAAATTTCTCATTAGAGTAATGCTAGAGATTGCCAAAGGAATCCAACACTTTATAAGAGGTTTACATTTGCTGCTCCTTTTTCTGGTCAAATCTCATAGCTGAAGCACGGATAAGAGTAACTGAAAAGGGAGCCTCAGTACATTGAATTGCCTAGGTCAGCCAGTACCATGCAAAGGGCAACATAACAGATAAACCTCTCATGTAACAGACATGAAATTTAATTGATTTGACTGCCAATTAGATAAAGCAACTTCTGATGTAAACCAGAGATACAAAATACTTATGTCATCTACCACACTGCCTTGTGTGCCCAGGGCTGTTGTAAAACTGATTCTACCAACTTGTATAAGTGAACTCTGATCATATCCAGACAAACCAGTGACTACAAGGATGAACTGGAAAAAATATTTTGCTGAGGACATACGATTGGTTTGTCCAGACTACTACTAGTTCTTTCTCATCCTCGGAGTTCTTCTGGAAGACAATGCCATGGCCTCATGTTTCATGGCATCAGGCAAAATTTTCATGATATGTTGCTGTATGGATAGTGTAGACAATCCCCAACACCATGAATGCCCCATCGAAAACTGCTTTTAAATTTGTTTTCTGAATAACTTGTGGTATATTTCAGGTGAAGTAATTCGCCATCCCCAAAGCTGTCAGGGAGAGAGATGGTACCATAGTTCTGTAACAATCAAAATGATCCTCAGTTTCACTCACTGAAAAATTATTTTTCTTTGGTCATTCCGTAATTTCCCCTCTAGCAGTGATCCTTTTATTTTTTTTCCCACAGATATCCTGCTTCCTCCTTTTTACAATCTGTCTGGCACTGTTTTAAATCTCGAAGAATCAATCTTCAGGGACCATGACACATCTGTGGTAATATACCATTTACTCTTTGTATAGTGAGATTACAATATACTACTTATATTCAATTTTAAGAGGAGATAATTAATATGGATTGGATGGGAAGGACCTACTTTCTTATCTCCCCTGAGTCTCTGTTTCTTTTTATTTTACAGTTTGCACATACGATGGTGACATCTGTGAATGAAATCCACATAGAATCACAGAATGGTTAGAGTTGGATCCACATGCTTCTCTTCCTTGCACCGATGATGACTTTTTTCCTACTTGGTGAAAAACACTTGGTCAAAACACATTAAGTCTTTACTGTCCTGCTGGCTTTGCTGAATATAGCAGTGTGTTGAGTGTGGTATGCTTGACACGTGTTATGTGGAAAATGATAGTGTGTCAGTTATAATAATGTCTGATTAACTTATAAGAGACTGATTATATTTACAATGCTCATTGTTGCCTTAGGCAATATATGACCCTGAGTTTGCATGAAGTCGGTCTCCTCTGCTCTAGACCCTATTAAGACTATGCTATAAAAACACCCTGATTTTTGTCTGCACATGTTTCTAAAATACACCGGGCTCTGGTTTACTTTCAAAACTTTCCTGGGATTTAATCTCTCCTAAGAATCTCAAAACTTTTTAGGTTTTCTTTTTTGTATGCAAATTTATGTCCTTCCTAAGTGAGCACTGTAGATTCTTTATTCCTATGATTCTTCAGCTTGAAGTCGGAGAAAACTTTGCTCAGTGAATTAAATGTGCATTTTCCTCCTTTTGGTTCTTTTTTTCATATTTGGCTCATTTTAGACAGCAATGTGGGACAGTTATCAAATATTAATCACAGCATGATATGTAGGAGAATGCAATGGTGGCTTATAAGGTGCATGGACACTGCATGTATTCTAGCATGTATTTCTCCAACATCACGTGTCTTGGAGAACAACATTGTGGGATATATTAAAGCCAGACTGCAGGAAACATGGAAAAATATCCATCTCTAGCACGTATATGTCCATGTAAAAGAAGAAAGGGAGGTAGGTTTCCATCGCATGGCAAGCTATATCAGAGTGTATTTTTTGGAAGCATAAAAACATCGAGATTGGGAGGCTTTTAAGTTGCTGAATTCCAATTTATGATTAGACTCCTCCATAGCTTCTCTTGTGAACCCTCCAAACAGCAAGACTAATTCAAACATCTGCATATCCCAAATCTTTCCCTTTTTCCATGGATCTTTTCCAGAGCCACTTTGCCTGGCTTCTTTTAACAGGTCTGAGGAAAGTCATCCCGACAGTGGGAACAGTTGTCTCTTCTCAGTTTTCATAATGATCCTGTCCAGCACTAGACAAGGTAGCAGACATGCTTTCTCTGAGGCTGTACATATAAAGGTTATTTTCAGAAGGGTTTTCTGAAGCTCTGCCCTCTTTTGGCTAAGGTGCAATTATTCTGCCAGACACTCCAGGAGCCACTTCGTTCCTAAATGAACTTTGAAATCATTTACCTACTGAAATATTTCCTTTCCATCATAGTTCATTATTTTGGGCGTTCTCAGACCCACACAAATAGACTACTAATTAACGACTGGAGATGCCTACCAATTTCCTTCGTTGACTGTATGTGTAGTAGCTAGGAATATTTTAGATCAAGTCTTCCAATATTACTCTTTATCTGACTCCAAATACCAAATGCAGTGCACAGTTGGGGGTAGGGGAAATAAAGCATCTAATCTCAGTGAAGTTATGTGTGAAAAAGCCTTTCTAGGTTTTAGAACAAGGATGCAAACAGATATATTTGACAGTGTTCTGAAGGGGATATTTTTCTCATTAACACAACACTATCTATGTAGTATTTTAGCTACTCATCCATAACAGAAAGATGGGGAACATAAACTGACACAAACGGTAATCTTGGGATTTAGGATTCTTAATCCTCACAATCATATATTTTTTACCAGACCTGAGAAGTTACATTTTTTTTATATGTACATTTACATGTCTGTCTCAGATGTCCAGAGGAATTCTTCATTTAAGTGATAGATAAACAGAAGTTAAAAGTTCACATACATACATGAAAATGAAATCTATTGGATACAGTGGGGAGGCATGATTTACATTCCTCCCATACCTTTGGCAATATCTCCAGGTTCTACTTCATCTATCACAAACCGAGCATTTATTTTAAGACCTGACGTTAACAAAACCACTGCTTGGCGAGAGAAATATTTACTCTTTCTCTAAAGTAGAATTTCTCTCCGACATAAGAATAACCTGAGGGCTAAAGCAAGCAAAATTTAGTCCTGAACCCAGGACAGTTTCTCCATGTGAGATACAGCGTTTCCTTGCTTTGAAGTCTCATCACTTGACAAAGCTAGAAAAGGCAGTTTGGGCTCAGGAGTAAATCATGTTACCTATGTAATCTCAAAAGACCATATACTAAAGCAGTCGCACTTTTAAAGAAAAAGGGTGCTGATGTTGTGTTCTACATGTATTTTTTTACATTTTTCTCATTGAGCCCTATGTTTCTGTGAAACATCTGACTTGGCAAGAGACAGGGGATTACACCCATCAGCTTCAGTGAAGTACAGAAAAACTTCCTGAAAGAAACTCATATCTACCTTCTTATAGGAATATGTGAGATTCAGAAAACACATAGCAGTGTGTGTAACACCCAGGCCTGGAGCTACTGCTGCAACTCCACCAGGAATGCACTTTCCCTAAACTCATGCCAACCATCATCACTCAAACTTAAACCTCTGCACCTGCCAAACTTACAAGGGGATGTCCTTTCTTAGGAGATATAGTTTTTCTTTAATGACTTATTACAGTTTCCTCATGCCACTTCTACTTAATTTTGCCTGGTCAGCTTGCAGGGGACAACAAATGCTTACCATTTCCTTGGATGGGTGCAGGACCTGTTTTACTCTGAGTAAAAAGAGCTTGTTTCTGCACCATGCACAGTCAGGTCCCTTTAAGGGACCTATAAGTTTCTGCAGGGGGTCAACTTCAACGCAGTACGCTTGAAGGTGTTCAGTGATACCAGCTCCCTGGATAACCTCCCCCTCCTGTTTGTGCTGGGGGCTGGCAGGTTGGGAAACAGAACCCTAGACCATGTTTGTCAAACTTTCTCTGGCTTGGTGTATAAACCAAAGGGACACACTCTTACCTGTGTGTACAAACATGTGCTTGACGTAGTTCTGTTTGGCGGTGAAAGTCTTGTTACAGAGAGTGCACTCGTAAGGCTTTTTTTCGCCTTGCCCACCTGCTGTGCTGTGGCCCGCAGATGGGGCCAAGGGCTGTGGGGCTGGCAGCTGGGCAGTAAAGGTTGACAGGCCAGGCTGGGACACTGTCACAAACTGTGTCTGTTGGCCAGCTAAAGGCTGGGGCAGGCTGAAGAGAAAAGGCTTAGGGCCACTGCCAGCAGACTGTGTGGTGAAAAGGGCAGGCAGGTAGGTGTTGCCAGCTGTGCCAATGACCTGAGTGTTGCTGGTCAGAGTCAGTGGCATCCTCAGATTGCTGGTGAGGGTTTCTGTCTGGCGTAAGTAGATCTGTGTGGTTGGCAATGGTTGGGCAACAGTTGTGTTGACAGAAGGCTGCAAAGCCCCCTTTTCGGTGCTGTTATTGACTGTGAGCACTTTGCTGTCCATTTCAACGTCATTGCTTCTCTCTGGCGAGGAAGAGTTGGCATCTACATGCTGCTGCTGCTGCTGCGGCTGAGTGCCATCAGCAGGGACATCATTTTGATCTGCTTGAGAAGGTTCTTGCTGCCCATCCCGGCCCAGACCAGCCATAAACTGCTGCTCCATGGAATCAGGCTCAGTTCCAATGGAGGAACTGACTCCCGAGTCAAAACTCTCCCCTTTGGGCTCACTCTCAGTGCCTTCTGCTTGGTCAGTGTCCTCGGTGCATTCCTCAGACTCATTGCGCTCAAGGATCTGCACCCTCTGTTGGCCATAGTAGTCATAGTCATCCTCCATCTCCTGCTTAATATGGATGTTGCCCATCAGGGTTTGAATTCGGACAGGGCGTGGTTGCTTGCGGCAGTGTGTGGTCTCTGGAGTGGTGGAGAGGTACCGCTCCATCTGTTGTGACCGTTCGTGGATCCGGGTAATCCAGCTGGGGTCTTCCATGTGATGGTCCCTGGGGAGCCCCAGGGCTGTTTCATGGTGGCTGACCACAGCTCCACTGTAAAAGGAGCGCTCCCCACTGCCATTTTGCATGGAACAGGCATAGAGGGCCGAATAGATCCTGTCCACGCTGTGCTGTGAATGGCTCTGCATATATCCAGACTCTGTGTCGGTGCTCTGCCCCGAGGTGCCTGATTCGGGTGTTCCCCTGGGTGTCTCCTGGCCAGAATCCTGAATGACTGGGTAGACCTCTCCCACATTTTGCGAGACAATCCTTGTGCACTCATCGATCACAGTCTTGATCTGCAGGATGCTGGCAGCTGTGAGGATTTGGAGGGCCTCCGACTGCGAGACCCGCAGCACCCCGCTGTACATGAAGTCAATGAGCTTTTGCACAGACTGGACTGACACCACGGAGGGGATCTCGATGTCGCTGTATCCCAGCAGCAGCTTGTCCTGGAAGAAGGGGCTGCCAGCCGCCAGCACACAACGGTGGGCGCGTAGCATGCTCCCGTGGATGCGGACCGTCACGTCACAGAAGTGGCCACGGTTGCGCTGCTCGTTGAGGGTCTCGAGCACAGAATTGCTGAAGTTGTGAAGGTTGATGCTATGAATGCGCTCTGTCATCCCCTTGCAACTGATGTTACCTGTAGCAAAGCAGGTGACAAAAAAAAAAACAAACACCAACAGATTGAGTCTGGTCCTCTGCAGAGCCGCAGTCAGGGCATTGGCGAAGGTGACTGCCCACTGGGTAAACAAAACAGATTACACTGTAAAAATTACACACAAAGGCATGGATAAGAAGACAGCATCTCTGTAAGACTATAAGTAAACTTGCTACTCATTTGCAGAAGCTGAAGTTCTAATTTTTTGGACAAACCAGACAAAGACAGGTGTGGCTGGGCCTAAATTCCAACCACATTCCTGGGCCTTGGACTTCCTATCAGTTTATGTGACTTTTAAAAGCCGAGAGCCAGCCAATTGTAAACACTGAGCACATGGATTAAAGCTGGATTTTAGGTTGTTTGGATGTGGACCTATGCCAGAAAAGATCATATTCTTACTTTATTGACCCTTTACACCAAGCTGTTAATGCAAAGACTCTATATGAAGATGTGATGTTAGTATTTTAAGGAATTTGGATTCTGCGTTTTATAATACAGTTACTTGCATCAAAAAAAACCCTGGCAGTCACTTTGTAAAATCAAAATCTGGTTCAAGATTTAGGCTGTAAATGTTCCTAAAATCCCACGCATAGTTTTGTCTGGGGCTGTGGTTTAGAACATTTGCTACCCAATAGTGACAAACAGTCCTCTATAAAGAACCCAAAGCACAAAGTGAACATGAGCTGTCCCCTTCATTTTTAGCATATCCCAAGTTCTGACTGGCACCAGAATGCCATCATATAAAAACAAATGTTCTCTTGCTGTTATTTACTTGACAGAAACTGGAAAACTACAGACATTTACTCTAAGAGAGACTTTGTCTTAGTTTGGCTGAATAATCAAAATAGAGAACAGTTTAGAAAAGCACCTAACCAATTTGGGTACAGAGCCAGCATAACCTTTAAAATTAATTTCTGCAAGAGACTAAAAGGAACTTCTTTATCTCTTGATCCACTTTTCCTTATCTCCATCTTGCTTGCTTGGTTTTAATGCTTTTTCGTTTCCTTTTTGTTTCCTTTCCTGTTCTTTACTCATTTTTCAACTACTTAGATTTTGATGGGCAGAAACTATGGTTTCACCTTTTAACAATAAAGAACCAACTGCCCTTTGAGTGGTAAACAAATAAAATATTATTAATACATTTTTTTCTTATAGCATTTGTAGTACCTGCATCACTTCAGTTCCCAGAAAAGTATGCAGAGAAAAGTAGTGCATAATCACCAGTAGTGTTCGAGGCACTTTGTCTTGAATATTCCTACCAAAGCTACAACCCCTCTTGCCCCAATTACTGGTTAATGTGTGAGAATCTAAAAGTAGAAATTTGGTAGAGAAGCACAAGTAAATTAAACTAGCTTATTGTCACTGTCTGTTCTAACAGAAATATACAGAGCAAATAAATGGTGTTGAAAGTGGCTTCATATACATGCCTTTTTAGCCCAACTATGTCCCTCTGGTCCAGCGTAAAGGGTGCTTTACATCTCATACACAGGCAGTGGAATGCTACTCACTGCAATTTGCAGGAAAATGTGGTGTCCTCCCTGCTCTGCCTTTTCCTTCTCATTTATCCACTCCTGACATCTCAAGCACCCTCTATTTTGGTGTTTCAAACAGAAACCAGCTTGGACAAAGATGGTTATTTTAATTCTCTGAAGTAGCTGAATGATGAAAGGCAAGCACAAAGGTTAGGAACTGGAAATCCCGACAGGGCCAAACTGTCTGAAGAAGTCTGATGTTAATAGATGTAAACCCACCAGTATCAGAAGGGTACTGATTTCCATGTGAGATTACAACACTGGGGAGATGCTCCCATAGCAGAAACAAGGAGGAAACCACTAACAGTATCATGGAGGTTGTGAATTTCATCTTGTTCATAAACTCCGCTGGGAAACCTGAGTTTCATCCTCTGATTAGACTGATCATAGGACTGGAAAACATCTTAGAATGTGGGAGAATTTCCTTCAAGGACACTGCAACTATTATTACACAAAGTAATGTACAGAAGAGATGCATTCCCTCCTTCTTCCAGACAGTCGTTCTCCAGGGGCCTCTCAGGCAGTTCCACATGCTTCCCTTCCCAACATGTCAAATCACACAAGGATTCAAAATGTATTTATATAAAAAGTCAGAATCCTTGATCTTAAAGGAAGAGGTAAAAGCCTTGTACTGGTGAGGAAACAGAAGAGTGGAAAATTAATGATATATAGATGACACCTCTTTTCAAGACCTACTGTAGGCCATGGCAAGGGATTGCATAGCTACCCATTTATCTGCATCTGCTTTTGACTGGTTGCCTATTAGTATGCCAGAAAACTTTCCACCAGTAAGTATCAATCACTACTTGGTTTGACCTTAGGACTCCCTTTTCATGCAAACATGTCTTTGAGATGTGCTTCTGGAAAAGGGAATGACCTCTGGTTTATGTTCTGCTTTGTCAAATGAGGTATTTGATAAGAAGAAGAAATATGCAGCAGTCTAACTCAATAAAACAAAAATCCTGCCTTGCACATGTGCAAGGTGGAATATTGCACAAATACCAGAGATGCCACGGATGCGTCTCTTGACTTGAGCAGATGCAAAGAAATCTACTTTGTTCCTGTGCACCTTGGCAGGTAAAGTGAATTTTGTGAATGGAACTCTGAAAAACGCATCCTTGGGACAAATCCTTTCCAGAAAGGTGTGATATGTACCATGAGACTGGATGACTTCTTGCGAAAATGGATTCTGCCACTTATCCATAAATCATGTACAGAAAGGAGGAAGGGCAAGGTTCATCTGGAAGTTTCAGCAGCCTTTCTTGGGTCCTACCTGTGCGAAGCAAGAGTTGTGTAGCCACAACACATTTGGTCATTAGCTAACTTGATCAAAACAGCCAGCTGGGGCTAATCAAGGCTAAAGAAAAGAGGTCTGTATGCATTTATGAGAGTGATGTGAATATTTCTTTTATAGGAACTGGTCTTGGATGCATCTTGAGGGTAGGAACTGGTCTGAAAGTAAATTGAATCACTTCACAAAAGGCACGGAGTACGTTTTGGTTGCTGCTGGTATAACAGAGATTTCCCTTAAAAAAAGAATCCTATCCTCATTTCTTTGCTTCTTCAAATGAAATTGGAACATCTACCACTTGTTCAACTGAGAAACAACTGAAATTTACTCCTTAAGAATAAACCAAGAGGGCTGCATAGAAGAGACATGTAACAGATGGTAAAAAAAGCTAATATAGATTTTGAGGATGTTTCTTCTAGGCTACCTTCCTTGACATTCAACACTGAAAAACACACCTATCCAGGTATCCAAAATGCAGGCAACCAAACAATTTGCAATAGCTTGAGAGATGCTACTATGCAAACCACAGCAGTATAAAAATGCAGATTTAACAAATTCCAGAGATTGGTCTGTAGAAAATACTGCTGTCCCATGCAGCTCCTCTCCCTCTCTGCAGGAAACTGCCCAGAGCTAAGTTTCGTGGTCTCTACTCCACGCTGTTCTAAGCTGAAAGTCCAGAGGTGATGCTCCTCATAAAAGGTGGACTTGCCAATGCAGGTTAGATTCTAAAGTAAATGCCACATTCTGACAAAGACTACGAGAGCCTTGGACAAGCCAGAAAGCGTGTCAGCTCTTCACAAGACCCAGCTACACACGCGCACACTCACCTACTTGTCACGGCACAGAATGCCTGGCTCAGGAAAAAGCCTGCTGTCTCAGGCTCTTCTCAGGCCTGCCACTCTTTTAAACTCGAGACAGTGGGAACCTTTCTGTGAAATTCAAGTGGTCTTTGTTAAGCCCCCCCCCCTTCTTTTTTTTTTTTTGTCCAGTAAACATGATGTAGAGATCCCAATGGACTTATTCTGAGAAACTCCTGTAAAATGGTTTTGTCCCCTTTCTGTGAAGCAAGTTCTGATTGGAGGGGTATTCACAAACCATATAGGAAAGAATGGGTGTGAAAATGCAAAGGCCATTCTTACCCAGATGGGCAATGAATAGGCGTTTGCTAGTTCAAAAAAATAAAAAAAAAAAAAGAAAGAAGAAAAAAGCAGGAAAAAAAGAAAAGAAAAAAGCCCAGACAACTGCACAGATTATGCACATTTGCAATCCTCCTGGGATGCAATTTGAAGCTGGCATGGCATAAAGGTGAAACATATTACTGTGCAACTTTGAAAAAAGCTCCGTTTACCCATATGCAAATGTACCGATTAAACTGTCAGGCTATTCACAGAAACATGCATGGAATTCATCCTCAACTAGTAAGAAGGCGCACAACGTGGATGGGAAAGGAAAAAACTTTTGTTGTGTAATACATGACTGAGTGCTTAGATTAGTGTTTCCTTGAATCTCATCCACCCCTCCTGCTGACTTTTATGCTATGGGCATTCAAAAGAAAGTAGATTTTACCATGACAATAACAATGACAATGTCTCCAAGTACAGTACCAAAGGGGAAGGCAATGGCAGAAGGAAACAGCAGGCAGTGCATTCCCGGAAGATGCTATAGAAAATGTGGAAGTGCAGCAGTGAGGTACATCCAGCACGGCTTGAAGGCATTTTTCTATTTGCCAAAGCTACCACACATACACCCCCATAAAGCTAGAAAGGTATGGCTTGCAAAGGGGATTGTTTTGTTTGCCAAAAACATAAAAAAATGATCCCAGCAAACACATGATGTAGCAGAGCTACAAAGACGTATGGAATACTGAAAACCATAAGTCACACACAAATGGCCACATTGTACATTTTAAAATGTATTTAGTGAGGTTTTTTTTGTACAGCCACTAGATGTCCCTTTCTGCAAAGTCAATGCTGACAGCTTTAATGCTCATAACTGGACGATATCACAGAATTTGATTTTCTCTAGTGTCCTTTAAAAACACAGTATCTCAAAGCTCATTGCACAGTAATGACTACCATTTCTAGAAACACGGTGATGATGAAACCACCACAGCTACTGCAACTAAACAGTAGCTCAGTGCATACGCTTCACCTGAAGCA